TCTATGTCTTAAAAATGGAGGACTGAAAAGGGAAGAAGGCAAGGAAGGGAGATGAAAATTTTCTTCCCTCTTTCTTGGGGAAAGGTCGGCCCTAACTAAAGTTTCGATATATAAGAGGATTATCCTTTGCATCATCCACTCACTCCAATCATAATGACTCTCCCTCCAGGGTCCCAGGATCCTTTTGTTGCTCTATATCAAACCCCCAACAAAATAATGCAACCATACTTTGAAGGAGGAGTCCCTGGGTGGCACAAATGGCTAAGAGCTCAACTACTAGCCAAAAGGGTGGTGGTTCAAACCAACCCAGAGGTATCTCAGAAGACAGGCCTGGCAATCTGCTTCCAAAAGGTCACAGCCTTGAAAACCCTGTGGAGCAGTTCTACTCTGCACACATGGGGTGGCCATGAGTCAGAATCGACTCCATGGCAACTAACAACAACAACAACACTTTGAAGTATAGAATGGGGGTCACTGTTAAAAGGATACTTGTTAGTCCAACTATATCTCCAAATTGACTGAACCTCTTGACAATGTTGAGAGAAAATCTGGGGTGGAGAACTATCCAAGGGCAGGCAACTGTGCCAGGCATCCAGCCTGGAGGAGCAGGGGCTCTGCCTCATGCCTTAGGGCTCACAAGATATTTCTTTAAAGCTAAATGGAGGTAGTGGAGTAGACATCTTTGTGTGATACCTTGAGGAAAAAAGGGAGAAAATGTTTTTTCCTTGTCTTGCTAAAATTTGATTTCACACTTTTGTGGCAAAAGATAAATTATAATCAAGGATATTTAATTGCTTTAAACAGCTGTGACCCTCTGGACTGATAGCTATTTATAGTGGTGAATGGCTATGATGATAGCTATTTATAGTGGTGAATCGCTATGATGATAGCTATTTATAGTGGTGAATCGCTATGATTAACATTTCAGTAATCAATCAATAGCATTTTGTATGCAATTAGTACTACTCTAAGTTCTGCAGGTACAGAATAAGCGTATTTTCTTAAACCAAATTCAGGATATATGCATTGGCATCGTGAATACAAAAGAACCATAAATGCTTGTTCAATGAATCGACATCTAGCACAATGACATAAAGAAAACACTGAACTAGGAGTTAATGTTGTGGCATAGCTTTGTTACCAATTAGCTAAGAGTCCTTAGCCAAGGCAACATTTTTTGACCCTTAGTTTTCTTATACATAAAATAACCGAAAAAAAAAAAAAAAAAACCATTGCTATCAAGTCAATTCCAACTCATAGCAACCCTAGAGGACAGAGCAGAACTGCCCAATAGGGTTTCCAAGGAGTGGCTGGTGGATTTGAACTACCAACCTTTTTGGTTAGTAGCCAAGCTCTTAACCACTGTCCCACCAGGGCTCCTATACATAAAATAAGGGAGTTGAAATCAGGTTTTCTTCCAGTTTTAACTTAACAAAATTCTACATAGATGTAGTAAGGAGACTAAGAAACAGAATATAGAGATAATTAAAGATTACATAAAAAATAATGAGGTAGTCACCTCATATTACCAAAAGCATCAGAGAGAGAGAGTGACAAAGAGGGAGAAAGTGGGAGAGACAGAGAGAGAGAGAGCAGTCACTACTCCCTTCTTAGGTACCACACAGAGCTAGGCTTTTTTTGTCAGAAAATTCTGTAGACTGTGAAAAACATGTACAGTGTATAGAAAGAGTGAGATGATACTCTAGTGCTTGAAATAACAGGGTTCATAGGCACAGGATGGGGAGAAAAGGCCAAAGAAATTACGGACAATTCCAATGCCTAAAACCATCTTTACAAAATAACGTTAGACATTAGAGGTGAATATCTTCCCCTTTTTGTTCAATGATTTCCAGGTAAGTTTAAATATACATGCATCCATGTGCACGTGCACGTACACACACACGCGCATGCGCCACCTGCATGCACACTGCACTCAAGAATAAAAACTGAGACTAAGTATGCTCAGTCTGTACCTCTGGGGTCCCTCTTGACTTCATCCTACTGATCTGCAGCAGCCACTTCATTCAGTGTGGTCTACAAATTTTTTAAGGAGAGTTTAAGAGTCATGAATAGTATCTACTGTGAATAAACTTCTACAATTCTGTCTGAAAAATGTGTTGCTGCATACTTGTATGATTCTCATTTTTCCCTCTGGTTCTTAACAGAAAACAAAAAAAGACTCCCCAACTCTTTCGTGACATGCAAAGATGAGGGCTGTCAGAAAGTAAAAAAAAGCTCACAATTTTTCTCCTCTATGAGAATCACTTATGTCAATCACTGACATCCCACAGTGTTACCCATAAAGAAATTTAATTCATTGCCTTCTTCTTCTAAATTGTTGGCTAGTCCAGCAGCAACAGTTCTAAAAGAGAACTGTCACACTAAAGGTGGGCCCTGTGCACCTGTCTGAGGCCTTCTTTAACAAGCTTCATTCATTCACCCAATGGCGTTTATTTACAAGATAGTAAAATTGTTACCTGTTTGGAGTTATCAAGTCTTTTCATGCTCTGTGTTTTATGTTTATCCAAATCCATAGCCTTTCTGAGTGACTGTTGTAGTGTTTTCATTGGGAAGCTATCAGTATAATTAAACTTTGCAGTGAAATTTTTTTAGCCAGTTGATAATGACTAAGAAAACAATTTAACAGATACTGCCACTGTGCTACAATAATCAGGATGCGCAAGGGTACAAATTATTGTAAAAGGTTTTCAAATTAAGATACAAGATATGGGATTAGTTTCATAAACTCAAGAGCCCCCACCCCTTTTTTTTTCTTTGTTATGTATAAGATGCAACCTAATTTCACAGTTAGTCCCCAACTCATAATGTTCCAAAAGTTCACTTGAAAGTACGTACTTTGGAACAAGGGACACATTTTCCTATAGAAACTCTGTTATATGTTTCAGGTACCTCCTTGTGCCAGACTCTGGGTCAAACGCCATGCCTACTTTGCTATATTTAATTCTCACAGTTATTCAACGAGGTAGGTGTTAAGGGTCCACAATCTCTCATCTGATACCCTGAGGCCAGAAATGTTTCAGATTTTAGCATCTTTTTATTTTAGGAAAATAATACAGTAAATACAGTACATATTATGGAATACCTCTAGTGAGGTCTGGGGGAGTACTTGGTTAGCAAATAAACATTTATTTCTATATCAAAACATTTTAATTTTCACACCACATGGGATAAATGGGAACTCCAAATAGCCTCATGGTGGTTCAAGTTTTGCTTCCAAAAGAGTTCAGGTCTAGTCAGGTTTTACTACCAAGTGAGCTTTCCAATGGCTCCCTGAGCTTTTGGATTTCATTAACTATGGATAACGGTGTGTGGGCCTGTATTAGTCTCATTTTGCGAAGGAGGAAACTAAGGTTGACTCAAGCTGAGTCGCTCACCCAAGGTCATGTAGACAAGGTCACAGGATATTTGAACCCTGGTCTCTCTGGCCGCAGGCCCTTGGTCTCTGCTCTATAACCGAATGCCCTAAAAGAGTTATTTTATCCCACAATACAGCCAAATCATAGAAATGACAGTACACCATAGAGCCTGACCACTGCATAACATGGCACTTCGAGGAACAGACACTTCCCTTCTGGCTCCCATCTCCCAAGCAAGACCAGGGGTGACCTGATCCAGCACGGGGAGGCAGTGGGAAAAGGAACTCTGCCTGCTTTGAGAAGACAAGGCCCGGTGGGGGCGTGGGTTTGCGGAAACAGAATGTGGAAAATCAGGCTCTGAAGACAGGAGGATTAAGTTAGGCTTTGAAGCAAACGAGAAAAGTGAGAGTGCGAGGTAGCGCTATACAAGAGCAGGGAATGAGAGTGGGTCTTGGGGCTCAAGCAAGGAAGGGCCAGGGCTGACAGGACGGAAGTGAGAAACTACAAGAGGAAGGGTTTTTTCCTTCACAAATCAAAAACGGCAGTAGGAGAGGGAGGAATGGGAGCACGACAGCTTTCCTCGCCCTTTCTGCTCCTCCTGCCCTGTCCTTCCAGCCTAGCCTGCCACTGCAGTCCTTGCTCTCGGCAGCACTGGGGAAGCAGTAAGCACTGAGAGCTCCTGTTCTGTCAGGCCTCGTGGCAGCATGTCATCTGCTTGGCCTCACTTAGCCCTAACAACCCCTCAAGCCTTTAGAGATGGAAAACCAATGCAGCGATGGGAACATGCCCAAGGTCACATGCCCAAGGTGAAGTGGGATTCAAATCCACTTGTGAACTACTTCAAGCCCATGTTCTTGTCAAGGAGAGAACTAGCTGGGTGGGTGTAGGGTTGGTGAGGGAGGGGATAAGGGCAAAGCAGCAAGAAATCCAGGGGCTGTGAGTCAGGATCCATACCAGGTATTGTGGTCACAAGAGAAATGGGGAATGTGGAGAGAGGGCAAACTTCTATCACGATGAGAAATTTCTGCAGCAGCTGGGGGTGAGGAACAGACATAACCAAAAAGTAATGTAGGAAGTTTGTTAATATAATCTAAGTCAACTAAAATAATGATGGGACCTATAAATTCCGTTACAATAAATAAAAAGTAGCTCACCTGTTTGGGCTGAATTGGGCTCCTCAAAAAGACATGTTGCAGTCCTAACCCCTAGTACCTGTGAATGTGACCTTATTTGGAAATAGAGTCTTTGCAGATGTAATTAAGCTAAGATGAGGTCATGAGAGTGGGCCCTAATCCAATACGACTGGTGTCCTTAAAAGAAAAGGAGAAGAGATACTCACTAGAACAGCATGTGATGACAGAGGTAGAGATTGGAGCAATGCTTCTATGAGCCAAGGAACACCAAAGATTGCCAACAACACCAAAAGCTCAGAGAAAGGCATGCGACAGATTCTCCCCTAGAGACTTCAGAGAGATCACAGGCCTGCTGACACCTTGATTTCAGACTTCTAGCCTGAAATCACAGAAGTGTCAGAGAATAAACGTCTGGTTTTCTCAAGCCACCAAGACTGTGGTAATTGGTATGGCAGCCCCAGGAAACAGATACACAATCATATGTACTTACTTCCCAAAGTTCATAGAGTTCCTTACTGAGGTCCTCTGGCAGAAGCTGGGTTAGCTGCTTCATAGCTTCCTGAAATATCAAACCATTATTTTAATTATATTCACATCTATCTAAGTTAACAACTAGTCTAAAAAAGACAAATAAAGGGCTGACAGAGGGACAGCAGAAGGAAGAGGTACATATCAGACAATATCTATACTTTGTAGGGAGAGTAATTGTGTACAGTAAGTAAATAACTATTTATTCATATGGTCTTCACTTGGCACTTATTTTGTGGCCTGCTGCATATTAGACACCAAAAAGAATAATGAACAAGGCATGACAAGATTATAAAAGTATCAGAAGTAAGGCCAAGGATTTTACATCTTGTGGATGAATCACAACATATACGCGAAAATGTCCATCATAAGTATACTAGAGTTCAAAACAAACCTATGAATGGGGAAAATGGTAAAGGAACATTGAATTACATTGCTCAAAGATTGTTTTGTATATATTATATTCATTCTCTATTGTTAGTCCTATACAAATGCAAAATTGTCATTAATATAAAGAAACTACATGATAGAATGTTGTAGACTCATCGACTTACAGGCTTAAAACGGATATTAAAGGGCACTTAGTCCAACCACCCATATAATAGTTGAACTTTTTAATAGCATTACTGAACATTTCTTGTCCTCCCTCCATAAACAAGTCTAGTGGTAGGGACCTTAGTACCTCCAGAGGCTGCCCATATGGACTTTAGGCAGTGCTGACAGAAAGCCCTTTCTCATACTGAGCTGAAAACTGTTACAGCCGTGTAACCTGAACCAGGCCACTCAGGGCCATCTGCACAATTTGTCCAGCAGAGACTGGGAGAGAGAAGCCACATTCCCTGCCTCCAGGAGAAGCCTGAGAGTTAGCCAAAACCCAGAGAAAAGCAGAGATGAGAGAATGAGGGTTCTGTACTTATTTCTAGTCTCTAAAGTCCTAGGAGCTACCTTCTTTCCCATTGTTCTTCTCTCATTTCTGAGTTTCTCTAAAATATCACCTTGTCAGGGCATGAGGTCTGCAACTTACTCTGGTTTTAAATTCCTTCACAATCCTCATCCTATACCTCTTAATTTGCTTCAGTTCTTCAATATAGTAACCACAAAGGTTAGGCTCCTTGAAAAGAATATGGTTGTAAGAACCACAGTTTTGGCAACATAAAGGTCTCATATAAAACAGGGAGTTGGGGAGAAGCAATGAAAATATAAATGGAGATGTGTGTGTGCACATACATGTGTATTTATCCCTGGGAGGAAAAAAATGTTATAGAATACAACCACTTCCAGAGCAAATCATATTTCCAAGTGCTCATAATCTGCTCTTACAGGTAGCATCAGTCTTGAGTGGTGTGTTCAATAACAAAGCTGTAGTATCATGGGTCTGCTGAGGGGCAATGTCCGTTAAGATGCACACACTGTGTACATACGCATAGGTGGAATAGTGTGTGTTCAACCTGGACCCTGGTTCAAATCTCAGCTCTGCAACCTACTGGCTACTGCATAATCTTGAGCAAGTACTTAAGTTCTCTGTGCCTCAGATTCCTCATGTACAAAATAGAGATGATTCTAGTACCAACTTCATAGAGTTTTCTGAGCATTAAAAGAACTAATATGTATAAATTAGAACAGTGCCTGTGTACTGAATACGCATTTTAAGTGTTTACTATCATTATTAGGTTTTCAAATCTGCCCTTAATGGTACGAGATTTAGTGAATTTTGTACCTGCATTCTCCCTTATTGCTTTCTCATAAATATCAGCAAAATACTTGAGAAAAGACTTTGCATATTCACAAATTAGACGTTTCTTGAGAAACTGATTACTTTTCTCTACACTATTCTAGAAACACAGGTTTGTTCACTTCTTTATTTAAAAGGAATGAATTGAACATGTTGTTGTGGATTGAATTATGTCCCTCAAAAAATGTGCGGATCAGTTGGGCTGGGCCATGATTCCCAATATTGTGGGGTTGTCGTCCATTTTGTGACTGTAATTTTATGTTAAAGAGAATTAGGGTGGGATTGTCACACCCTTACTAAGGTCACTTTCCTGATCCAACATAAAGGGAGTTTCCCTGCGGTGTGGCCTGCAAGAAATAAAAGGAAAGGGAAGCAAGCAGAGAACTGGGGACCTCATACCACCAAGAAAGCCGCAGCGGGAGCAGAGCATGTCCTTTGGACCGGGGTCCCTGCGCCTGAGAAGCTCCTTGACCAGGGGAAGATTGAGGACAAGGACCTTCTTCCAGAACCAACAGAGAGAGAAAGTCTTCCCCTGGAGCTGATGCCCTGAATTTGGACTTGTAGCCTACTAGACTGAGAAAATAAATTTCTCTTTGTGAAAGCCATTCACTTGTGGTTATTTCTGTTATAGCGGCACTAGATGACTAAGACACATGTATACACAGGTATACCAAAATCTAAATTTTTAGAATACAAATATAAAACTCTTGCTTTGACAGGGAATGAGGGATTATTTTCTTTAAGATGATACACACAGGACTGAATGTAGTGATACACGTGTGGTGTCACCAAGGTGGAACAAAATGGAACCACTGCCTACCTCGTGCTAGTTACTATCTGCCTATAAATGCAGCCTGATTTGGCATTTTGGAGATCACATCCAATTATTGACTTATTAATAAACTTCCCACTACCTAAAACCACCATGTCCTTTTAAAAAACTAAACAAAACAAACATATGCTGTCATTTTCTTCCTGAAACTGAGCAGTATTTTCTCGGTCTTGGGTCAAGATCTTATATTTCTGCTCAATGTCCATTACATTCAGACCATCAAGAGATTTGGGTGCCATCCTTCTGGCTTCATGTGATCTACACACTGGAGGAATAGGTCCTCTAGACCAGCAGCTCAGAACCCTTTTCCCCAGGACAGCTGCAGGTGTAACATACACTAGGCACTCTCAGGAAAGGAGTTAGTGTCATGTCAATTTCTACTCCTTTAACATACATCTTTCTCAAGAAAGCACATGGGAATACAAAGGGACTGTCAGTAATAAATAATCCTCTACCCTAATTTCTTTTAATTGCCAATTTTGGTACTTTACTATTATTAAATTATGACACACCTCACATCTGAGGAGCCCTGGTGGTGCAGTGGTTAAGAGCAATGGCTGCTAACCAAAAGGTTGGCAGTTTGAGTCTACCAACCACTCCCTGGAAACCACATGGGGCAGTTCTACTCTGTCCTATAGGGTTGCTATTAGTCAGAATCGACTCGATGGCAACAGGTTTTTCACATCTGATTATACTGTCACCCTAAGCAGGAGAACCAACTCTTTTGCTCAAAAAAAAAAAAAAAAAAAAAAAGATATCTTTATGTTTGTGCTTGATTACATATTCTTAATTTGTGTGTATGTGTGTGTGTCTATATCCTTTAAGAACCTAAGCACAAAGAAATAGCTGAGAAAAATAATATCCCAGTAGAAAAATGGATAAAGCAGAGGAACAAAAAATTATCAGAGGAGAAGCTAACAATCACATATGTTTATTCTCACTAAGTGAGATAGAAATGAAAATGAGTGGCCATTCTTTCCAAATTAACAATAACTTTAAAAATGCTAATATAAATGTTGGTAAAGATTCGGGAATAATGGCTTTCCTACATATTATTAGGGTGGTCTGAACATTCTGGAAAGCTATCTGTTAATAGGTATAATTAGTCTTAAATATATGGAGTGCTGGTGGTACAATGGTTAAAAGCTCGGCTGCCAACAAAAAGGTCAGCAGTTCAAATCCACCAACCACTCCTTGGAAACTTTAAGGGCAGTTCTACTGTGTCCTATACGGTCGCTATGAGTCTTAAATATGTAGTTACAATAATTTTGCTTCTAGGAATCTATCATGAGAAATAAACCAGAAATGTGGACAAAGATTTGTGTACGAAGATATTCATTACAGAAAGAAAAAAGCTGGAAAAATTGAACAATAAGAAAATTGTTGAATGAACTATGGCATAAACACATGAGGCAGCTAATGAAAATTCTAAATTTACAGAGAATGTTTAATGACATAGAAAAACGTTTACAATTGATTGAACAATTTGAAAATGCCAATATTTGACCCTTCGTTTGCCTACAAAAGTAGTAATTTCATTAACCTAAAACAAAGTAAAACGCTTTAGACTATAGAATGTGCAATTCCTAAATATGTAAATAAATCATACGTATGCATATAAGAAAAGACTCGAAGGATTGTGGGATTATGAGGGATTTGTAATACGCTTTTTTGTACTATCTAACATGTTGTACAATCAACATGTATTGCTTTCATAATCAGAAAAAATAAAGATTATTTTAATCTAAGTTTATTGGAGGGCTCCACTCATTGACATCATGTTATTATACAATCAGAATTGCATTTCTGAGACCTGTTAGGTTGTCAGTATCCCTAGTTTAGTGGCATGTGTCACAGAATCATATCTACCTTTTTAAATGAACTCTCTGAAATCCACATCACTAAAGTCCAGGGTATATTTCCCTTCCTTGTCTTGAGTTCCCCCCTCGCCTCTACTTACACTTCCTTACTGAGTTTCAGCTTGTTCTTTAGACATAGATGTAGAGTGACAACTTTTCTAACTTCTTCCTCTGTTAGCAAAGCATGTCAAGAATTTGCCAGAAGTGGTGAGCTGAATGAAACTTCAGCAGATGTCTTATGTCAGCTCTGTGACAAGTATCTGGAAAGCATTACTCATCATTCATGAGGCTAAATACTAATAGTTAAGCACAGACTCTAGGTCTAGATTGGGTTTGAAACCCTACTCGGCCAATTTACCAGCTGTGGAACCCTGAGAAAGTAACTTCACCTCTCTGCCCTTCATGTTTCTCATCTGTAAAGTGGGGTCAATAATATTAACTCTATAGTAAGATTGCTGTCATGGTTAATATATATAAAAGGAGCCCCGGTGACTTAATAGTTAAAGCAGTCATCTGCTAACTGCTGGGTGGATTTGAACCACCAATCTTTCAGTTCAAATCCACCCAGCAGCTCCGTGGGAGAGAGACCCGAAGATCTGCTCCCTTAAAGATTACAGCCTAGAAAACCTTAGGGGGCAGTTCTACTGTGTCACATGGGGTAACTATGACTTGAAATCAACTCGACAACACATAACAGCAACAATATGTGTAAAGGGGTTATTACCAGGCACATAATAAGTTATTGTTTTTCATTTTCTTCATCTTCCCATGTTCACTCCCATAAAAGTTCCATTCTTCTCTTCTTTTAACCTCCCCTGGAGTTCTTTGGGGCTCCGGTGGCACAGTGGTTAAGAACTCGGCTGCTAACCAAGTGGCTGCCAGTTCGAATCCACCAGCTGCTCCTTGGAAACCCTATGTGGCAGTTCTACTGTCTTACAGGGTCACGATGAGTCAGACCGATTTGACGGCAATGGGTTTTTTTGCACCTTTAACCATTACAGATCACATACATACCAGAACTCTTCCTCTTGTCTTAAGAAGTTTTTCCCTTTCCAAAGGAATATAACCTGCCACTTCTGTATTCCACCCTCAAGTTCCAACCCATTAGATCTTGATAATCCCTATTAGGCAGCATTTATCAACACTTAAAATATAAAGCTTATTTTATCATGTTTAGGAAGGGGGCCAGGCTACAGGTACTGCTTTTGGCCCCCTTCCTGAATGTTTTCTTCTACATCCTTGATCTCTCTTTTATCTTGGTCTTAGTTATCTAGTGCTGCTACAACAGAAATACCACAAGTGGATAGCTTTAACAAAGAGAAATTTATTTCCTTACAGTAAAGTAGGCTAAAAGTCCAAACTCAGGGCATCAGCTCCAGGGGAAGGCTTTTTCTCTCTGTTGGCCTTCTTCTCTTCAGTGTTCCCCTGGACTAGGAGCTTCTCGGCGCAGGGACCCCAGTCCAAAGGACGTGCTCTGCTCCTGGAACTGCTTTCTTGATGGTATGAGGTCCCCTTGTCTCACTGCTCACTTCTGTCTTTTATATCTCAAGAGATTGCCTCAGGACACAATCCAGTCTTGTAGATCAGGTCCTGCCTTACTAACACAACTGCCACCCATCCTCCCTCATTAACATCACAGAGGCAGATTTACAACATACAGGAAAATCACACAGTACCAGGAATCATGGCCTAGCCAAATCGATACATACATTTTTCGGGGGACATAATTCAAACCATGATCATCTTAATATCTATTCTCCTCTCAAATAATCAACCTTCTGGGTTTATCATGTATTTTTCCACCCTCTCACTTCAGTTTAAAGTCTTGATGATCCAGTCAGCCTCTGAGCAAATGAGGCTTCCTGGTTCTCATTTTGTATGTTTACCTTGAGCCAAGAAACCCTCATTTAATTATTGAAATGCATAGTTCGGACATTCAAATCTTGTTCGTAAACACCATCTGCGTAAAGAATCATTCACCTCCCAGATCTTCCCCTCTTCCAGAATCTGAACCAACAGCAGGAAGAGGCAATGGAAAACGAGCTTTCTTCAAGCCTTTGCTTTTTTTGTCCAAGAACTTGTGGTTCTTTAAGATGTTTCCCTGGTCCCTTCTGATTGTGACATTTATTCCCCTGTGAATCAGCAGGAGCAGGCAGCAGCCAGGAGGTTTAATGAGGCCTGAAAGGTTTTCCATTAGAGCCAAGACAGAATCCAGGAAGACAGCAGCACCTCCTCTGATTGGCTGTTCAGGTCCCCTCTCTGCTCCTCTGTCGGGGAGGGGGAATGCACTAGTCAGGACCCAGCTCTTCACAGGGCAGTAGCAGGCTTTTTCTCACCTCCAGTGTTAAGACAGCAAAAAAGCCTGTTGGCCACTGAGCTCCAGTCTCCCCAGCTCTGAGAACAGCCACTGAAGTCCATCCTCTGCTAAACTATCTTGATAAAGGCTCTCTCCACTCAGTAACCTAGGACCAATCTCTCTATCCTACAATAAAAGCAGCTTGTGATCATCCCTGAAATGGGAACCAGCCATCTGACATTAAAAAAAGTCTACCTGGATTTTCTAGCCTTTCTTTCAGGGATGTCTCCCTTTTTTGGCCCTTGGCTAAATTTAGAGCATAAATTTAGATTTATTTGATACTTTATTGATGTTATTCATTTCTTAATAATACAAATATTTTTCTTTATTTCTGTAGACCACTAAATTAAAGGACTAACTTGGAATTTACTAAATAATAATTATAATAGCAATTGTGACTTACAGAACGTCTTGTATCCAAATAGCTTAGATGATGATGATGATGATAGCTGCTGTTGGCGTCGACTCCTGGCGACCTTAGGTACAACAGAACAAAACCTTGCCTGGTTCTGTGTCATCCTCACAATCACATGCATGTTCGAGTCCATGGTTGCAACTACTGTGCCAATCCATCTCACTGAGGGTCTCCTTCGCCCTTACTGGCCCTCTACACATCACCAGACATGAAGTCCTCCTCCAGAGATTGATCCTCGATACCTCCTGATGGCCAGAGCGAGCCAGTCGGCAATGTTCTATTGTGACCTGTCGGGTTTTCATTGGCTAATTTTCACAAGTACATTACCAGGCCTTTCTTCCTAGAATGTCTTAGTCTGGAAGATCTGCTGAAACCTGTCCACCATGGATGACCCTGCTGTGGTATTTGAAATACTGGCGGCATCACTTCCAGCTTTACAGCAACACACAAGCCATCACAGTAGAAACACCGACAGACAAGTGGTAGCCAAATAGCTTTACTAATCAGGAATATCCCCACAAATTCACTAAGTTTCAGCTCTTTCCTTTATTCTAAGGAAAGCCGTATTATCTGTGTCCACATACTAATGAGAACTGAAATCAACCTAATTTTCTGTCCCTGTGTTAAACAAAGCTGGGAACAAGCAAAAATAGCTGCTTACTCTAGGAAATCCTTGCTTCTGGAAGATAAGATGGTAAGCCATCTAAATCAGCTCACTTATTAAAACTAATAGCTTATTCTTTAACACTCTAAGATTTTGCCTCACTGTTTCCACCAATCCAAAATTATTATGTCCTGAACTCTGTCCAATCCAAACTAGTTGCCCATCTTGTAAGATCCCTCTTAACATTCTCCAGCCCAGGTGCTAAAACCTTATAAATATCCTCCTTGACCTTTCCCTTCAAACACCTTTGTCAAAGTGGTGTTCTTCCTTACTGCAACAGGCCTAATGAACTTAGCTTTTCTTGAGCCACAAGTTTTTCTGGTGGCCTTTTTCAGTCATGAGTCAACACTGACCTTTTCTCGCCTATGTTTTTCTTCTTTGGGGACGTTATCTGCTGGTGCTATGTCCCCAACGATGCATTCTGCCATATCGTGAACCAGGGCTAGGCGTACACATCTAACCAGGCAAGAAATGTTAAATAATTACACAGAATCATATGCACTACAAGTACCTTCTCTATACTATTTTAAAGTTACATAATATATTTTTCTCTCTCTACCCTCATAGAATATATTATTACAGTAGTTTCTAAAGTAATTATATCCTTCCAGCCTACAACAGTTCTGAATCAAAACTGCTATTTAATATTCAACACCATACATAAGAATGAGGGGAAATTACTGTCAGCATGAACTTTTTTCTTAAAAAAAGAAAAACGTCGATATTTCAAATCTCACCATAAAAGGTTGATCATTTCAGCTTACAAAGCCAGGCAACGATCTGGTTACAGCATTTATTTACTAAAATAATCACTTCTCCTTTGTACTTAACATCTTGCTTCTGGCCCAGTTAAATATCAAAAGGAAGTAGTTATAGAGTAATAGAGTTGGACAGATTTGGGTTTGAAACTATTAACCACCCACCACTTATTAGCTGTGTGATCTTTGCCAAGTTACTTTTAACTTCTTTAAATGTTCAATTTGTCCGCCTTCATTTTATCATCTGTAAAAAAGGCATATCAACACTTCCTGAGGTTAGTGTGAAAATTAAACTTGATAATTTGTGTTCCTGGCACATGTTAATCATCTACCAAATGGCTATGCTAATTAGAAATAATGAGGTTAGTGATTATGATAATTACCATCAAAATAACAAAGGCAGGTCATAAGGTAAATGACCCAGAGAGCCAGTATGTCTATATGTTCCCACTACTACCGAGGCAATTCAAGGCCTACCAGCCTCCAGTCTCTTACCCAACTGAAATACCAGACTGCTTCTAGGTTCATCTCCACTTGACACCACCTTCATCTTATGCTACTTGCCAAGAAATCTGCTCAGTTCCACATCTGCTATAAAGTAACAGGAGTCCTCAGACTCCCTAAATGAACCCTTTGCCACAATCAAAACTATTTATTCATCATTTCCAAAAACAGAAGTTTACATTCCCCCACCAGGGCTCTAATTTCTATGCCTTTCTCTCTGTGGGCTGTGTGCTCCTCCTTTTCTCCTTATCTAGGCCCTTTAGAATTCAACTCAGATTCTGTCTCCTCCATTAAGATCACCCAAGAACAGGTGATTTCCCCTACTGTTATAATACTTGGCTAATTTTCTAACATAACTTATTTGGTACTTTTTATAGAAGTTACTTTGGGCCTGTGTAATTCATTTGGGATTTATTTATTGTCTTATATTGTTAATAAATAATCCCCCGGCCTGTGCTCAAGAAAGCATTTTAAACACCTGTTGACTGACTGAAGGGGGAGAGGAGAGGATATCTCTTTCTCAGCTATATCTTGCATGTATAACTCCAAAAAAACACCTTACAAATGGGTGCTACTACTCATAAAAAGGGTTAAATAAAAGCCATAGCGTACTAATATAATGACAGAATTTTAGACATGAAACATTCACTTCCAAGGCCTTGGAAACCCTAATATCACACTTAGTTTCCTCTAGGACCAATGCAGGCTCTGTCACCTGCCAAAAGGAAACTTAGATCCAATTTGCAACAACTGATGCAATCAACATACACAGTTCTCCGCCCTACTCCCAAAATCTGTATGATTTGCCTCAAATAATTTTTGTTGACATAAAAACTAATGCATAAGAATTTGACACAGGCTTCAGTCATGGAAGTGGTGCATGCCCATGGACCAGAGACCCTCACAGGCATCAAAATTCCCATCAGCTTACCGGTCTTTGTTAAGCTGGTCATCTTTGGTCACCAGAGCCATAACTGCCATCCTGTACATGTGATCGGATACACTCTCTGGCTTCTCTACATTCCTGTATACCCAGCCAGTCCGTGGCACTCTCTGATAAAATAAAGAAAACTTTAATAAATAAATGTCATTTAAACTAAATGTCATGCTCTTCAAGAGACATCCAGGGAATAGGTGCAGAGAAGCAATGTCATGTCATGATTTTAGTACCTATGTAAACAATGCTTTACTGAACTAGGAGTTCCTGAGTGGTGCAAACTGTTAATGTGCTCAGCTGCTAACTAAAAGGTTGGCAGTGGGAGTCTACCCGGAGGCACCTTGGAAGAAAGGCCTGGCAAACTACTTCTGAAAAATCAGCCACTGAAAACCCTGTGGAGCACAGTTCTATTCTAACACACATTGGTCACCATGAGTTGGAATCAACTCGATGGCAATTGATGCTGTTTACTTAATTAAATAATCAGAATGCTCAACATCTGGAATCAAATAAACCACAGAGAGCGCGAGCGAGAAAGAGAGATTGATTGGTTCATATGCTCACTGGTTACAAGAGCAATTCAAAAAAGTTCAATAGTCAAGTTACTCTGTGTTACTGATATATAATTCCAGAACCTATACAAGTCCTTTGAAGATCCCTAGGTGACCCAGTTTGTGGTCCACTGCCACACCCACCCATACCTCCAGAAGAAAAGGCCTGGCAATCTGCTTCGGTTAAGATTACAGCCAAGAAAACCCTATGGAGCGGTTCTACTCTGTAATACGCGGGGTCGCCATGAGTCTGAATCGCTGTAGGGCAACTAACAACAACATACAAGTTCTTTTTTCATAAAAACAAAACAGTAAAGTATCTTATTTTTCATAACTACAAGAGTTGGGGCTTTCTGCCTGCAAACGACCCCATTTCATACAAGTAGAAAACACTGTTGAAAGTTCTGAACACAAACCAATGACAACTCCCCAACTCTGAAGCATAACAAATAAAATCATTTTTAATTGCTTGGCACTACCACCGAATGTGACCCTTCCTTTTATATAAGATCATGATGTGATTGCATTTTCTGCTCAGAATTCTAAGTTTCTACAGAATTGTGTAAACAGTAGTAATAGTGGCATGAAACAGATCATCTGCTTTGAACTTGGAGAAATTAATCAGCAAAATCACTAACTGAATCGGGGAGAGGAGGGGGGACGCACATGGTATAATTCTAGTGTGTACAGGTAGTATATAAAAGCCTCAGCAGAACGTCTCGTTCTTCTGGAAGTAACTGTGAGAGAGATTTAAAGCACCCCACCGAAATCTGCAAATCCGATGGATTCTGTTCTTCCCAGAAGCACCTCCAGTTACGGCGTCGTGGGCCCCGTAATGTATCAGTGCAGACAGGGCTCTCCTGAACCCCAGTGGCTGCAGTGTTGGGAGCATTAGGATCACCTCCCGACACACGCTACTCAACGTGAGAGGCCACCGGCCTTCGGCTCTAGTGACCCGGCCGCGCCCCTCCACTGGCTCTCTTCCTCCGCCTACCGTGCAGCACCCGCGACTGCATCTACAGGTGTTTTCCAGGCGCGAATCCCGCGCTGCAAGGAGGGAGGAAAAGGCGGAAGGCCGAGCGGGGGCGGGAGGCTCCGCTGCCCCATCGCCGGTCCGGCAGTCTCCCGCACGCTAGGCCACCGCCCCGGCTGCTCCCCGCGCGCGCGGCCGCCTTCCGGCCCCGGCGGCCAACCTGGCGCACGCTCACCTTGAGCTGCCCCACCAGCCGCAGGAACTGCAGCAGGTTCTGGGCCCCGCGGCCCGAGAAGGCGGCAGCAGAGACCGAAGCCATGCAGCCACCAGATCCGAGAAGGGGCCTAGCAGGCCACGCGGCCACCGCATGAAGCTCCTCCCTCTCCTCCCCACCCCCTCCCACCTCCTCCTTCCTGTCCTCCATCGCCTCCTTCTGTCCAGTCTTCCACCTCCCCTACCTTGGTGGCTGCCGCTTGGGCAGGGCGCCACCCGCGGCAGACACGGTGCTTGTCACACACTAGGCCCTTAATACTTAGAAGAGTTTACTGAACTCCGCTTACTAAACTCTATCAAACTTTTAAAGAAATTGCAGTTGATGGGGGAGCGGGGGAGGGGGGGAGCTGCGGGAGTGGGGATCTGGGCCGGAAGGGAGCCTGTGCGATGTCGCACCAAAAATCTTGTCTTCGTAGATGGGGATGGGAAAGCTGGTGATAGGGAACCCAAGGTTGAGTGAGGGCAGTGTTGACATGCAGTAGGGTTGTTAACCATTGTCATAGGGCAACATGTGTACTAACTGTTTAATGAGAAACTATTTTGTTCTGTAAACCTTCATCTAAAGTGAGAATAGCAGCACAACTGGAAGAAAGTAATCCATGTCACTGAATTGTGCATGTAGAAATTTTTGAAATAGTGTATCTTTGGCTATGTATATTTTCACCAAAAAAAAAAAAGGTCCCCCAAGGGCGAGAAAGGAGGGGGTTGACATGCATGGGGTTCTTAACCAATGTCATAAAACAGTATGTGTACTGACTGTTTAATGAGAAACGATTTGTTCTGTAAAACTTCACCTAAAGTACAATAAAAAAAAAATCTTGCCTTCTCAGAAGTCTGCGTCTAATGGGGGGGCGGGTAGATTAGGAACTCTAATTCAAAGCAGGCGATTGATAAGCATTTTAACAGAGGTAGAAAGTACTCTGGAGAGGAGAAATTAATTAGGAGTGACAGAAGTGCTGGGCGACAGAAGTATATGGGTTAGAGAGTGAGAGCAATTCCATGGTGAAATCACAACCTTCCCAGTACCTGAGTGCCTTGGTTGGTGCACCAGTAAAGAGCTGCGCTGATAACTCAAAGGTTGGAGGTTGGAACCCACTGAACGTTCCCAGCTGCTCCAAAGGAGAAAGACCTGGCAATCTGCTCCTATAAAGATTCCAAACCAAACCCATTGCCATCGAGTTGATTCCAACTCATCCCTATGGGGCAATTCTACTCTGTCTGCTCTGTCACACCGGGTCAACTATGCGTTAAAAATCCAGTCCTTGGCACCTAACAACAACAGCATATACCTGATGCTAAGTGCTGGCGCAGTGGTTAAGAGCTACAGCTACTAACAAAAAAGTCAGCAGTTTGAATCCACCAGCTGCTCCTTGGAAACTCTATGGGGCAGTTCTACTCTGCCCTATAGGGTCACTATGAGTCGGAATACACTTGATGGCAATGGGTTTGTTGTTTGTTTGTTTAAGTGCTGATGATTCTGTGATGAACGAGACAAGGTTGTCTTTAGCCCCTTGTGTTGCTTACAGTCCCACAGTCTGTCTAAACAGGGCCACAGTATTATACCAGGTACCATGCTAGAAAAATTTCACCTGCACGATTAAATGTTGATTCCTCGCAGCAGTAAGGTGTTGGTACAGAAAATCCCAGAATAGCTTCCATGGAACTCTACCTAAGACAAACAGCATCTAGTGGCAGCATCCCTATAATGTAAGGGCATCTGTAAAGAAGTAGTTAAACATGTTTGGAACTCTGCCACTAAAATGAAATCATATAAAGGTACAAGTTTCTGACACCACCATTCACCAAACTATCTTGTAGTACCAAGTTCCCATGAGGCACCTATCCCAATTTTTGCTTTTGTCTTCCTTACACTCTTCCTTCCTATACATTGACATTGCATCCTGGGAACCTCCCATGTGGCCTCCAGAGCTATGTGGTTTGGAAATTATCATAGTCAGTATGCATACTGAAGTGGCTCTTCACAGAGTAAAAGGGGTTTCTTAAGTAAGCCTTTATGGAGGCAGGGTATCTTTAAAAACTTCTATCACTTATTTGGGGTTTAGGACTGAAAGGAGGTTATTCATATGAGAAACTCCTCTTTAGGGGGGGAAGAAGATGAAAATCCCATGAACAACAGATTTTTTAAATCATTGATATTATCCAGTGTTTTAGTTACCTAGTGCTGCCCTAACAGAAATGCCACAAATGGGTGACTTTAAAGAACAGAAATTTAATTTCTCACAGTTCAAGAGGCTAGAAGTCCAAATTCAGGGTGTGGCTCTAGGGAGAGGTCCTTCCTTATCTATTTTAGCTTCCTGGAGCTGCTAGCAGTCCTGGCGATCCTGGGCTTATAGATGCATATGTCTCCATCGTCTGTCTTCCTCTTCCCCCTATGTGTGTCTCTGTGTCTAGTCTGCTCTTTTGGCAGCTCAGAAATGATTAGGTTTAGGATCCATCATACTCTGGTAAGGCTTCATTAACATAATAAACACATCAACATAACAAAAGACCCTATTTCTAAACAGGGTCACAGTTATAAGTACAGGGGTTAGGATTTCAACACATATTTTGTGGGGGACACAATTCAGTCCATAACACCCAGATAACTTTCAGAAAGGGATACAATGATATCCCCTAGTATAAGCACTGGACATTATGTCAAAAAATCAGTGTAAGAAATATGCAATTTTCTGAACAACCACAGTTAGTGCAGACAGAGTTCGAGCAATGGATGTCTATCTAGACCGTGCAATGACCGTATGGACAGGAGTTGGCAGAGGGTGGAGGTGAAATATGCAAGCTCTGGACTCCTCATCCAAGATCCAGAGCCCAACTCTACCACTTATTGGCTGTATGACTTGGACAGGTTATTCAACACCTAAACCTTAGTTTCTTCATATGTAAAATGGAGATAATAATGCACCAATCTTGTAGCAGTATATGTAGCTTGTGAGGGGACATATTTTAAAGATGATATGGGTTTTATGAAGGAATTTATTATCCAAAAATAAATTATTATGAAAATGCAAAAACCTGCCAACTTCTTGCCTTTCTAAACTGCATATGCTCTATCAAAAAAAAAAAAAATCATGATCAAAGGGGATTCATACCAGGGATGCAAAGATGGTTCAACATTAGAAAATCAATCAATGTAATTCACCACATAAAACAAAGGAAAAGAATCACATGATAATCTCAATTGATGCAGAAAAGGCATTTGATAAAATCCAACACCCTTTCCTAATAAAAATTCTCAGCAAAATATGAATAGAAAGGAAATTTCTCAACATAATCAAGGGCATACATACAAAACTAACAGCCAGCACTATTCTCAACAGAGACTGAAAGCATTCCCGTTTAGAACCGGAACCAGTCAAGGATGCCCTTTATCACTACTCTTATTCAATACTGTACTGGAATTCCTACTAGAGCAATAAGACAAGAAAGGGAAATAAGGGCATCCAAATTGGTAAGGAAGAAGTAAAACTGTCCCTATTTGTAGATGACATGATCTTAAGCATAGAAAACCCCAGAGACTCCACAAGAAAGTTACTGGAACTAATAGAAGGGTTCAGCAAAGTGGCAGGGTCCAAGATAAACATAAAAAATCAGTTTGTTCTTCTACACTAACAAAGAGAGCTCCAAAAAGGAAATCAGGAAAACAATACCATTTACAATAGCCCCCAAAAGGATAAAATACTTAGGAATAAATCTAACTAGGGACTTTGTAAAAGACTTATACAAAGAAAACTACAAAACACTACTGTTAGAAACCAAGAGGCCTATATAAATGGAAAAACATACGATGCTCATGGATAGGAAGACTTAACATTGTGAAAATTCAATACTACCCAAAGCAATTTATAGATATAATGCAATCACATGCAAATTCCAACAACATTCTTTAATGAAACGGGAAAACTAATCTCCAACTTTATGTGGAAAGGAAAGAGGTGGTGGATAGCTAAAGCATAATTGGAGAAGAAGGACAAAGTAGGAGGCCTCACACTTCCAATCTCAGAACCTACTATACAGTCACAGTAGTCAAAACAGCCTAGTGCTGGTACAAAGACAGACACATAGACTAATGGAACAGAGTTGAGGATCCAGAAATAAAATCTGTCTAGCTACAGACAGCTGATCTTCGACCAAGGGCTGAAGTCCATTAAATGGGGAAAAGATAGTCTGTTTAACAAATGGTGCTGGCAAAACTGGACACTCATTTGCAAAAAAATGAAACAGAATCCATACCTCACACCATACATGAAAACTAACTCAAAATGGATCAAAGACCTAAATGTTAAACCTAAAAATAAGTTCATGGAAGAAAACATAGGGACAAAGCTAGGGGCCCTAATTTATGACATAAATAGACTATTAAACATTCGTAAAAATGCACAATCAGTAGAAGATAAACTAGATAACTGGGACCTCCTAAATATTAAATACTTATGCTCATCAAAAGACTTCATCAAAAGAGTAAAAAGAGAATCTACAGACTGGGAAAAAAAAATGGCTACAACATTCCTGACAAGGGTCTAATCTCTAAAATTTATAGAAAACTTCAATACCTCAACAACAAAAAGACAATCTAATTTAAAAATGGGCAAAGGACACGAACAGGTACTTCATCAAAGAAGACATTCAGGCGACTAACAAACACTTGAAGAGATGCTCACCATCATTAGCTATTAGAGAGATGCAAATCAAAACTACAATGAGATACCTTGTCACCTGGCAATAATGACACTGAACAATAATAACAACAAAACCCCAGAAAACAGCAAATTCTGGCAAGGTTGTGAGGAGATTGGAACTCTTATACACTGCTGGTGGGAATGAAAAATGGTAAAACCATTTGTCATGGTTTGAATTATGTCCTCCCAAAAATGTGTGTATCAATTTGGCTAGGCCATGATTCCCAGTGTTGTGTGGTTGTCCTCCATTTTGTGATTCTAATTTTACATTAAAGAGGATTAGGGTGGGATTGTAACACCACCCTAACCCAGGTCACATCCCTGATCCAACATAAAAGGAGTTTCCCTGGGGTGTGGCC